TCATATCATGGAATCACAGAAACACAGATCCCGGAATGGTTTGGGTTGGGAGAGACCTTAAAGCTCATCCAATCCCACCCCTGCCATGGGCAGGRWCACCTTCCACTGTCCCAGGCTGCTCCCAGCCCCAATGTCCAGCCTGGYCTTGGGCACTCAAAGGGATCCAGGGGCAGCCACAGCTTCTCTGGGCACYCTGTGCCAGGGCCTGCCCACCCTCCCAGGGAACAATTCCTGCCCAATATCCCATCTAACCTTCCCCTCTGTCTGTTTGAAGCCATTCACCTTTGTCCTGTCACTTCTTTATACTCCCTTCCAACCCAAAACAGACTCTGTGATACTACCCCAGATTCTTTTTTGGGGGGATGACCCTTTATTTTCTGATGCCCTGAGACCTGACAGGCAGGACTTCTCCATGGTTGTTTTAGCTCCTCCTGGCAGTTCTGCAGGTGGGTGGGTTGACATTGGACCCCAGCACAAGGGTGGCAGTCACTGAGAGGGACAGTAGGAAGAAGACAGTTCTGAAGCCTCTTTAAAGGATAGGGATAGAGAATGGTAAGGTCTTCTGGACTCCTCCACCCCTTTACATCTCCAGAGGGAACTGGGACCTKATTTAAACATGGCAGAGTGGACTGGCTCCAGCACCAAATGATTTGTGTGCCATTATCCTTCCCACACCTGTTCCAGACTGCTGTCCACAAGTGCTTCCCCACAGGTGTCTGTGGCGTGGTGCCCTCTCCAGAGTTCCAGCCAGCCTGGGAAGCTACGCTGGGAATGCTCCAGGGATACCCTGGGAGCACAGCCCTGCCCAGCAGTTATTTTGGGAGCTCATCCTGGCAGGACTGGGCCCTGCAGGCCTGGCTGGTCCCTCTGGAATGCAGCAGGGATCTCAGCATAAGGTCAGCACTGACCTTGCCTCGCCAGTTCCCTGGAATAGCTCATGGAGGGGAAATGCAGGCCCCAAAAACGGTGCCCTACAAAAGAGGAGTGCTGGCCCACAGAACAATTAGCCTACATTAGTGATGCCACAGAACACRCTTCAGGGCCACAGCAGTGGGGACACCCAGGGAACTGGGTGAGACGCGCCTCACAGGGAGGTAATGCACACACACCTCCTGGTTGTATGTGCAGAGCAGAAAATACAAACTCATTCTGGGTTAATAAATCTGAGTGGATTACTCCTTGGATTAGACCCCCAGTTCAGCTCTTGTAATGTTTTTACTCCTTAGTGCTCAGCCACCTTTGACTGACCCACCTTTGACAGAAAGGGTGAGTAAAAGATGTTCRGCGAAGTTCTGTGAAAGCTGGGGGCTGGGTGGAGGATTGATCCTGGCTGATCACTAACCACTTCTCACTTTGGGAAAAGCTGAACTGCTACAGGAAGTTCTACCTAAATGAAAGAGCTTCCAAACCAAACCCTGGAACAGAGACAGAGAAGCACAGGATGATTTGGGTGGAAAGAAACTTAAAGATCATTTTCAGCCCYTGCCATGGGCAGGGACACCTCCCACTGTCCCAGGCTGCTCCCAGCCCCAATGTCCAGCCTGGCCTTGGGCACTCAAAGGGATCCAGGGGCAGCCACAGCWTCTCTGGGCACMCTGTGCCAGGGCCTGCCCACCCTCCCAGGGTACATTTCTTTGTAACTGCAATTTAAATTTAGTCTCTTTCAGCTTAAGGCCATTTCCCCTTGTCCTCCTCCATGCCCTTAAAAATCCCTCTCCATTTTTTTSTACATTGAAATGGGATGGGATAGAGGATGTGGGAGGGAAAAAGGTACAGACAACAAAGCATTCCTGCTTCTACTGCTTGAAGAATGACTTCTCTTCCTAATAAAGCCACATAARTGGCAATTTTAGATGAATTTATTTAAAACTTGTCACAATTTCTTTTTTTTAACTAGCAGGAAGTTGGTCATGTAGGCACCAAGCAGAACACACTTCCAAAAACTTTCTTGAATTGATTTGTGTCAGGATACCACAAATACCATGTGCTGGAAGCTCAAGAACGTCCCTGTGGAAGCTGCACAAGGAGCTTTCCTGACAGTAGAAACAGTTTTCGTTTTGGCCAGCACAGACAACCATCCTGCTGCACAAGAGAGCAGGGATTTTGTATTGTATCCCTTCAAAAGAAGGGGCCAATGAARGACCTGATTTTAATGGAATTGAAGACAGCTTTTGACTCTTCCAGGAATTCTGGCAGAGAAGCAAAAGCTGGGCATTGAACAGGTGTAGGTAGATCCAATGATGTTACAATCAGCAGGACCAAAGAAAGATTTTTAAAGAGACATGGATTGTACTGGTCCTTTTGGATGTGAGGGAAACTTTATGATTAAATTAACCTTTTTTTTTTTTCCTCCATATTTTCAAACACAGAGAAACCAGATTCCTCTAAAAGTTGAAAATCAAGGGTGTAGAGAAGCTCCCAGATGGGAAATACTTGACACTGTAGCACTTGATTTATGAAAGTTTTAAAGAATCACAATTGTTGAGAGTGCCTGATTTTAACAGGAACTGTTCTGGACTCTTWCAAACGTATTTATCATGGAAAGTGCTCTCAGGAGGATTTCTGGGATACAACTTCCAAGTATACATTTCCCCTAGGATAGCTAACACAGCCTTTTTCCCAGAAAACTCCAGGGGGTTAGGGAAGGATTTTTCACGGAATCAAAGAATCAGTGAAGTTGGAAAGGACCTCCAAGATCAAGGCCAGCCTGTAACTGATCCCCACCTTGTCACTCAGCCCAGAGCACTGAGTGCCACATCCAGGTGTTCCTTGGACACTTCCAGGGACAGGGACTCCACACCTCCCTGGGCAGCCCTTTCCAAWACTTAACAACCATTTCCATGAAAAAAAAAGTTCTCCTGCTATCCAGAAATCGCTGTCTGATATTTTAAACTAGAGAAGAAACTTTTTATACTCAGGAGCGTGATCTTCACCATGAGTGAGAGCACTAAGGAACTCAAGACTCACATTCCAGAGAGTATCAGGGAAAACTCCGGGAGATGCACATTTTTTTTTTTTTTGGAACAAGCCTGATCCAGCAGCACATCCAGGACCTTCTGGTCCAGAGGCGTGCCAACCTACACAACGTGCAGCTCTGGCTGTCAATCCAAAGCTGGTACTATCGAAGCTGGCTCTGATGATGACTCAAAAGCCGATCTATCTCCATCCGAATGGGTTACCATGGCAACCTCTCTGGCCTAAAAAGAGCTGGACCACATTAGTTACTTAGCAGCACCTTTTTGACAGGCGAAACACAAGCTGCTCCCTCCAGATGATGGTTTCATTTAGAACTGAGGCTGTCTGGGAGCTGCCATGGTGTTCTGGGAAGTGTCAGTGATGTAAGCCATGGAGGAGAAGTTCTTTTGGGACTTCACTTCAGGTTGGGACCCAKTACCAAAGGATCTGAGCTGTGTGGTTTCTTGGTGGAGAAACACAACAGCATCATCATCTTTTTGTCTGTATTATGATGGAATTCTTCCTGAAGATCTTCCAGCTTAGGTCTGCTGACCTAAGAAGGCCCCTCTTGCAGTGGATGTGCCGGATCCCGAGGGTTATTGGAATTGCTGCTGACAAAACACAGCTTTCACATCAAATCTTACACCCAAAGTACAAATATTTAGCTCTGGAAAAGGCAGGGTGCCCTTGGCTGCTGTGAAGGAAGCCTGGAGTTCAGGCAGAGATGCCAATGCTGCAGAAGGAAAACTGCAGGGCTACAAGGGAAGGTGGGATCATGGAATGAAGCCTTCCRGAACACACAGTGAAGAAGCAAATGGACCCCTCTACTCCATGTAGGAAGGCCGAAAAGGGAAAAACTATTACCYATAATCACACTCCATTACTATGGAATCATAGTTTGGGTTGGAAGGGACATTAAAAACCATCTAGTTCCACCCTCTGCCATGGGCAGGGACACCTTCCACTATCCCAGRTTGCTCCAAGCCATGTCCAACTTGGCCTTGAMCATTTCCAGGGATGGGGAACCCACAGTTTCTCTGGACAACCTGTGCCAGGGCCTCTCCACCCTCACAGGGAAGAACTTTTTCTGTGTTAACCTAAATATTCCCTCTAACCTAAATATTCCCTTTCAGTTTGAAGCCACTCTCCCTCATCCTGTCACTCCAGTTCCTGATGAATTGTCCCTCTCCAGCTTCCTTGTAGCCCCTTCAGACCCTGGAAAGAGCTCTGAGGTCTCCACACAACCTTCTCTTCTCCAGGCTGAACAGTCCCAACTCTTARGCTGTTTAGTTGTTTCTCTTATATCTGTTCCATTTCTTTAGATTGCTGTACATAATTTTCTCTCTTAGATCTCATTTCTCCACTCTCTTTCCTCCTCATTTTTAATGTGCTTTTTTCTTTTTTTTTTTCTCAAGTTTTCTGCTTATTATTGTTCTTTTTGGCCCAAATATTCTGCTTTTTGAGGGGTGGTCTGTTGGGAAGAAAACTCAAGTATTTCTTACAAGTCTCTCTATTATTTCATAGCGAATGTAAACAAACTCCTATTTTCAAGTACTGTAAAACTACACCAGGTGATTTGTGATGAAGAGTTAAAAAAAAAGGATTCTGGTGGAATCCCAGCCTGGAGGATCCCTAACCTGAGCCCTAAACCTGCTTGCAGCAGAGAACACAAGTCCAGTGCCTGACAACCCTTTCCATTAAGAAATTCCTCCTGATGTCCAACCTGAACCTCCCATGGCTTTTCAATGAAATGGACATTGAAGAAAACACTTTTGTACAAGAGAAAAACCATGCAGGTTATTCATTATCAAAATAGCACTAACAAGCCAAAAATACCTAGGGGCTTGTGCTGGAAAATAAAATTTTTAAAAGATGYCATCGTCTTTTAAAGGACATTTTATCTCTGCACAAATTATCAGAGCTTGGGTATAGACATGAAAATAAAAGTAGCGGATGACCGAGCAAATGCAAAAACTCTTGAAAACTCTGTAATATTTTCAAATGTTAGCAAAAAAAAAAAAAAAAACTCAAAACCTGAAAAAACCGCAAACCCAAAGCCCAGGAAGTTAGAGTAATGCAGTGAACAGTCTAACAACTGTCTGTGAGTTTTGCAGTTACCTACACTGAGTGACAGAGAAACTATTCTGTCACTGCACTTGCACAGACCAGAAAGACATTTTAAGGGGAAAAAAATCCTCAGGGAATGGACCTCCACTCCTCTCCAAAAGTGAAGTTGTCCTTCCTGACTGACAAACTGGGCAGAGTTTGGCCTTGTAATCGTCTGTGTTGGAACAGCCCTYCAGGGTCACCCAGTGCCACCCCAGCCCCAGCAGCRTCACCCCAAAGCCTGTCCCCAAGGGCCACATCCAGACTCCTCCTGAGCACTCCCAGAGACAGGRACTGCACCCCCTCCCTGCGCAGCTCATTCCAAGGCCTGACCACTCTGACAGGGAATTTTCTTTGCCARTCTCCACCCTGAGCCTCCCCTGGTGCAATTTGAGGCCATTTCCTCTCCTCCTTTCCCTTGGGACACTGCAGCAGAGCCCGACCCCCCCGGCTGCCCCCTCCTGTCAGGGAGTTGTGCAGAGCCACAAGGTCCCCCCGGAGCCTCCTTTGCTCCAGGCTGAGCCCCTTTCCAGCTCCCTCAGCTTTCCACATCCCAGGACAAGAACCACATTCTGGCCACACTCAGAGGATACCAGACAAGTGTCAAAAGCAGCTTTAAGTGACCTCAAATCTTTCCAAGGCTGAGGGGAATGAGAAAGGACCACTTAAATCGTGGTGCTCCCAAGCACCTCCCATGGCTGTAAGGTGCAATTCCACGGATGATTTCAACTCACCTAACACCTCACTGTGACTCCTGGGGTGGTCCTATGATTCCCCTGCTCTTCCCTGTACGTCCGTGTCCCTGGAGAGGGACTTATCACAAGGGCCTGCAGTGACAGGCCAAGGTGGAATGGTCTTAAGCTGGAAAAAAAGAGCAGGGTTTGATGGGATATTGGGCACGGATTTTTCCCCGGGAGGGTGGGCAGGCCCTGGCACAGGGTGCCCAGAGAAGCTGTGGCTGCCCCTGGATCCCTTTGAGTGCCCAAGGCCAGGCTGGACATTGGGGCTGGGAGCAGCCTGGGACAGTGGGAGGTGTCCCTGCCATGGCAGAGGTGGGATTGGATAAGCTTTAAGGTCCCTTCCAACCCAACCCATTCTGGGATTCTGTGATCAGAGAATTTAAGTAAAATTCTCAACATTCRATTATTTGGGGGACTTCAGCTGTAGCTGCATGCATCTCCCAGTCCTGGGCTGCTTATTTCCACCTTTTAAGCCAACATAAAAAAATATTAAAACAGGAAGAAAAAGCAAATGGAACAAGTAACATGTCCTAATTTCTCCAAGGAGGCTGGCTGGGAACYGAAATGACTAGATTAAAGTATCACACATCAAGAATTAAAGTATTAGATAAAGGCAAGACTCTACTTTTTGATCTTTGTGGGCATTCCGGAAATAAAAAAAAATTTAAAAAAATTACATTGAAACACCCCTGTCACAGATTTAGGCTGGAAGCACCGACATGGCAATTCCAAGAGGAAAGGAGTCTTCCCCCAGCAGCTCGAGGCTCCCGCACCGGGTGACTTTTAGTGCATTTTTTAACCTGTTCTTGGGGGATATATTGAATTTCTGAGGGGGATGAGAAAGACCTCTGGGCGAAATTCTGAGGGTAAAAAAGCCTTGCAGAATTCTGTGACTGCCCCGGCAGCTCAGGCCTCCCACAGTGGACGACTTTTAACGGATTTTTCAACTCGATTTTGCGGGGAATRTTTTTGAGCGAGTCGAGAAAGACCCCCGGACGCAATCCCGAGGGGAGACGACCCTGCTCTCAACAGGTCGAAATTCCCACTCTCGGCTCCTTCCAGCGCCTTTTTGGACGGTTTCTCGGGAACGTCTCAGCGTCCGAGGGGCCGTGCCCGGGCCCGTCCCTCCCCACAGGCGGCGCGCGGGAAGCCCCGGCGGGCTCGGCCTCGCGCTCCCGGCGCCCCCTGCGGGCCGGGGCCGGCACCGCCTCAGCCGCCGGGTCCCCCCTCACCGGGAATGGCGGCCGCTCCCCTTCCCCGCCCCGCCGGGGCCATCCCGGCCCGCAGCGCCGCCGACACCGTCACACGCCGGAGGGCGGGCGGGCATGGATCGGGAAGGAGGGGGAAGGAGCCGTTGCCATGGCGAGCGCGGCCCGCCCTTGCCTCCCCACGTCAGCGCCGTCTCCCGCCCGGCCGCGGGTGATTGACAGTTGTCATGGCAACAGGCTCGCCCCGCCGCCATTTTGTCAGTTGGGTTTTTTTTTAAATTTAAAAAAATACAGAAAATTAAAATAAAATAATTATTTTTAAAAAGAGCAAAACGCTCTATTTCTGCCAGAATCGCGGGAGTTATTATTTTTTTAAAGTTTTTTTTTTTTCTTCTCCTTCTTCCGACCTCCACCGCGAAAGGAAAAGGAAAAGAAGGGACGCAAAAAAAGTGCGCTCCGAGGGTCCCGCCAGGGATGCGCGGCCGGGTTTGAGGCGGCGGCGGCGGTGCGGGAAGCGAAGCCGGTTCGTGAGGAAGAAGGGAGGGAGGGAGGGAAGGAGGAGCGGGCGGGGAGGGAGGGAGGGGGAGGAGGTAGCGGCTGGCAGGCGGGGGAGGGAGGGAGGGAGCGAGGAGTTCCCGGGGGCTCGGTACGGCGCTGCGCTTCCCCCCATCCCCTCCTCCTCCTCCTTCTCCTCCTCCTCCTCCTCCTCCTCCCGCTCCTCCCGCTCCCCCCGCCGCTGTCCCCGCGCTCCCGGCCGGGGCTCAGGCCGCCGATCGCAGCCGAGCCGAGGCGAGGCCGAGCCGCCGCCGGGCGCTGCGCAGGTTTGGACCGCGCGCCATTTTGTGAGGGCAGCGAACACCCAGAGCCCGGCCGGGGACCCGCCGGGCCGCCCGGGCTCCCCTTCCCACCGCGGGCAGAGCCGCGGCCCGAGGGAGGAGGAGGCGCCGCCGCCGCCGAGGCCCCCGGGGAAGAGCGGGAAGAGCGGGAGGACGCGCCCGGCGCTCGCCCCGCGGAGGGAGAGGCCTCGCCCCGGGAGAAGCCGCCGCACGGGTGAGTGAGACGCCGCACCGCGGGACGAGCCGGGGCCGCCTCGCCCGGGCCCGCGGCGGAGGGGCCGCAGCGCTTCGCTGCCATCTTAGAGCGGGAGCGGCGGCAGGGCCGGGATCCATCCCCGCCCGCCCCTCCGCAGCCCGCGGCCTTTTTCCCCTTGGAGCGCGGCTGTGGCTTCCCGGGCCTTGGGAGCGGCGATGGAGGAAGGGAGCTCGCCCGGAGCCTCTCGGTGTTATGCGCAACGCCCTGCGGTGGGCGGGTGCGAGGGCTCGGGCCGGGCTGGCGGCGRGGAGGGCGGCAGGACTTGGAGCATCACCTGTTGTAGGGGAGGATTGAGATGCCCCGGCACCTGTGAGGGGCCGGTGGGGCGGGTGGGGAAGGTGGAGGGAGATGGGGAAGGAGTTACCTGAGAGAGGTGCCTGTCATCCATCCCTTCGGTGGGGGTGGGGAGGAGGAGGGAGCAGCGTTGGGAATAGGCACAGGGACACGCAGGGACACACAGGCACAGGGACAGACAGGGACACACGGGCACTCCCCAGGGAAGGTGGTGGAGGCACCGTCCCTGGMGGTGTTTAGGGAAAGGCTGGACGTGGCTCACGCTGCCATGGTCAGGTTGACAAGGTGGCCATAGGTTGGACTGGATGATCTCGGAGGTTTTTTCTGTCATTCTTGATTTCCTGATTTCATATTTTAATAGCTGGCCGCAGCCTTTTAGGGATTCAGCTTTTTGTTGCTGGAGGAATTGGAGCCCTCCTCAGGTACAGTGGGTGCTCCTCTAGAGTGGCCAGAGTTCCCTCCTGCCGCTGTTGGATCACAAAACACGATTAAAAGTGCTGGAATTCGAAATGTAGAAATTGGTGGATTTTTGAATCTCTGTCGGCTTTGAAGTTTTGGGTTTAGCAAGTCCAAAGACACGTAGGGGTTCTTTGATCGTGCATCTAGATTGCTGCTGTTAGTTCTCCTATTACTCCACGGCCATGGGGGAAATAAACAATTATTATTATTTAAAATCAACAAAGACAGAACAACCGACTCCGAAATAAATTGACAAGCGTGTTTTTGACAACTATCCTGGATGAATCCGAATGGGAGTATGCTGTTAACTTTTGCCAGGAGGTACTTGCAGTCACACTGAGGTGGATGTAGTTTCATGGGGRCCTGGGTTTGTGCAAGTTAGTAACTATTTTTATTATCTTGTTGGTATTTCCTTACCTTTTCCTTAAGAAAGGTGTGTGAAGTTGAAGAACATGTAAATGATATGTGGTGATAAATAAGCAAACGTTTTATTTCTGGTAGTATTTAATTCCCTGCCTGAAACCAAGCAGAATTTAACTTCCCTCCTTGGAATAGCCTGTAGTCCTAAAAAGTTTTGGTAAACTTGTTTCTCCCTTTCTCCACGGCCCCCTCCCCCCAACCTCTGTAGGTTGGATATTTTTGGAAAATTAATTATACTTTATAGAATTAGAATAATAACACTGAAAATAACTCTGAGCTAGTATTTGTTAACTATTATCTATATATATTTGGTGTGTGTATATATAGATACTTTTGTAGGCTACGCTTCATGTTTTTGGCTTACATGAATTATTTAGAACTAGACTGTTTTTATTTGCAGTCTGAAGTAGAATATGTGTGTGAAGTGTTAAATTTACATTTTCTGCTGTGAATTAAAAATTCTGTCCAACTTTATGAAGCTTATTGAGTTTAATTCATGGGTTTAGAATATTCCTTGGATAAGGCAAGTGTATCYACTTCAGAATTGAAGAAAGGGCAAGGATTTCTTAAGCCAGGAGGGCAATAGGGCAGTAGTTGGATATTGTTTCCAGGCAGTTGGTTACAAGGAGCAGCAAGTGCTACAGTTCCTGCATCAATACTTGGGTGGATTTAGGACTTGTCATTGGCATCCCCTCCCCCATGGTGGACAGTGACAAGGATAATTTTACCTAATAGCAGCCAAGAGTTCTCTGTTTCAGTGTGGATTTATGGACAGGATTCTCTTGCTTGTGTGAAACAACAAGGGACTCACYGGGAATTTATCCATTTTGGAAGTCTATGGGATTGTGCAGGAAGTTTATGGGAATTGGCACGTGATGGCCATCAGTGACCTCTGATAGTTCAGACAAAGTAGCAGRACACCACCAGTGTCCAGGAAAAACTGTGTCTTGTTGGAGCTTTTCAAGTGACATTTAATTAGGACAGACTTGCTTACATGTGCCACATCTCAAAGTCATGTTTGAAACTGGACCACCTGCTCAGATGGTATGTGAAAAGAATAAACACACAAAAACTGAGCCTTTATTTGCCATGATGGCATTTCACAGCTTCATCTGAACTCAAATGGGTGCTGATTTGAAGATAAAACCAGGAGGTACCAAAAAAAGCATTTTTTATTGCAGTAATTAGATTATCTTCTGGGCATTCCTCTTAAAACCTCTTTATTTCAGGTGTTTTTAAGCCTGGCTGTGGGACTGCAGCTCAAAAGTTGTGACAGTTTGTGTTTTTGAGTAAGAATTGCAGCCTGGTATCTGTTTAGCCTTTCCATGGTAATTTGAATGYCATTTGGAGAGCTGTTCTCCACACTGAAGTACAAAACTTTCTGATACCTTTGTTTTATGGGAGCACGGGAGACTTGTATAACTTCTGAAATCCTTTTGTAAATAGATCTGTTGTTGTAGAATAGGATTATTTACAGAGAACTGCTGTTTTTGTCTTTATAACTGAGTACAATACATTATTTGTTGAGTTTACAGTTTCATCTCTTCTTTACTAAGAGGTTAGTAAGAAATACATTTTCACAAAAATTATGTAATAACTTTCTGGCTACTYTGACTTGAAGAAGTCTGATGTTTATGCAGTGAGGCTTCTTTTTTGCTCTAAGACTGTTTGAAATAATACCAAAAACCTCTCTGAGCAAACTGCTTTTMTTGTGATCTTCTGAGGGGAGAAAGAAGCAATCAAGAGAAGGGGAATACTCTTCCTTTCCTTCCTCACATCCACGGGTCCTTCAAGAGGAGGCTTATGGGAACTGTAGTCCTTGGATGGTTTAAAAACACCAGAGAAACTTTGGAAAATTAGAAATTGTTACTTCCAGAAAGTCATGTTCCATGGGTGGCGTTATCCAGTGCTGGTTCTTCAAGGTGACACAATATGCCAATAGAATTGCAGTGATTATCCATGTTTTTATCCATCTTTTCCTCTTTTGGGGAAGGAAGGTAAAATTCTGCATTTGATTCTCATGTCTCCAAGCATGACTGGAAAAATAACTGGACTGCTTTTGCTAGTACCGATGGATGTAATTCCTTCACAACAGGACTTTGGTTTTTCCTGACCCTTGGTGTGGCTCAGTTTGAAAGGTATTGGCTTTATCATCTCCTTATTCATTCCAAAGTGTCCTGTCCATATGATTTTCAGGAAGAATCCCTATTAAAGGACCAGGGAAGTGTGGGAGACAGTTCCCAGTCAGCTTTGCCAGCATCTATACAGTGGGAAAACTGGTGCTATTTCAGTTCCCCTGTATGAAGACAAAATCAGTTCAATCCCAGCTCTGAGYTGTGGAAAAGCAGGGAAATAGTTCTGTAACTGAAATACCACGAGCTGACACCTATTTGTAAACATTGTCCTTGCAAAGTTTCCAGGGTCTGGGTAGACCCAAATACCTGAAATTGAAACTAGTTAGGTGAAAGTAAAATTGACTCCRTTAAGTGTCAGTTTTGTTCCAGCTGTGAGAAACCAAGCTTTCAATTGATGTGTTACATAAAGTTCCAAAGCCTCCTTGTACTCTTTTTTTCCCCCCTTTTCTTTTCCCCCAGAGGCAAATAAAAATAGACTGTGTTGTGAGTCAGTTAAAGGAATAGTTAATAATACATTAATAYCTCTTTGTGTTGAAAAGTTTCCTCTTTCTTTTTAGTAACTGTTTGGATGGTGAAATCAGAGAGGGATGGAAATGTACAAATTGATTTCTGATGGCAGAGTTATTCCTTCAAAATATAATGGGGAAAAATTGGGAATGAATTTTGTTGAGTTACTGGAAAAAAAAATCAAGTTAATAGAACGACTAGTTGACAGTACCATAGCTAAATAATTTTAGTGATTGCATGGAACCTGCCAGTGAAACTTTTAAATCCTGGTGCCCCAAAAACTTGTTGTTCACTGCTTTTGTGGTTTCCTGACTTCAGACGTATTTCATTCCAAATCCCCTTTCCCTCTATGGGTTCGACTCATAATTTGTTCTCCTGTGAACTCTCTAAATTGCTGATAACTCCTCATTGACTTTGGGCCTGTTGCAGCATCCAGCATCCACTTCATAGATGGAGCAGTTTTGTGCTCATATTATCAGTTTGCTGTTTAAACTCAGGGAAGGTGTAAAAGAGGAGAGAAATATTGTCAGGGAAGTGACTGTGTCCTCAGATCCATATTTTCCTGGTCACTGAGTTCCTTCACACTGATCTCTGCTCTGTCTGGCTGTAACTATAGCTGTCTCCCCACTAATAACTGTATAACCACATACRTTCTTGTTTTTAAATGCAGTTTTAAGAGGACTTGTGCATTAAATACATAGAGGGTGTGTGTGTGGTCACAGACAAATCAGCTCCCATACACTCTTTCAAAATCTGATTAATACTGGAAGCTCAGTAACTTTCCAGGATCATGTCTGATTCTGGCATCTTTATTGTTATTCTTTCCAACTTGTGGATAATTAGGCGTTAATTTAATGCTATGCCAGAGTTAGTGTTTGAAATACATTGATTTTTTTGGTAATGTTACAAGATCTTGGTAGTTTTCATTTCTATAGAAGTTATTCAAAATACTACAAATACTGTGTCAGTGTTGTGGAATAACAGTTTAATGCACATTTTTCACCATGATCAGATGTTCCTTAGCTTAGAATTCTGTGCTGTTGTACTYGGGGTGACTTTCCTGTCAATGTCAGAGTGTGCCTTCAGAAACTGAGATTGTTGTGGCAGGCCCTGTGCAGGAAAAGGAACATTCCTGCAAATGCT